CTGCTCCCGGCCCACACTTGCAGCCCTGCTTCCAGCTTGTGGTCCCAGCCCCCGCTCTCGGCGCCTGGCCTGGCTGTGGTTCTGCTCACATTCCATTACTGAGCACATTCCATTACTGGTGGTGGTGAGGGGTGAGATGAAAAGTTTGGGCACCACTGCCATACTGAATCACACCAGTGGTCCATCTAGTCTAGTAGTCTGTCTTCTGACAGTGGCCAATGCCAGATGCCTCCAGAGGGAATGAACAGAACAGGACATTGATCAAGTCATCCATCCCATGTTGTCCAGTCCCAGCTTCTGGCAGTCAGAGGCTTAAAAGACTTCCAGAGCATGGGATTGCATGTCTGACCATCTTGGCTAATAGCCATTGATGGACCTATTCTCCATAGCCCTCACTCTGTTGCTGTACTTCTACCTGCATTATATTTACTATTGCAAAGTGTCTTTTTTGTGGGAGCAAGGAGGTGTTTATTGGCCTGAGTTTAGATAATGTTTGGTGTATCTGGCTCTCATGCTCCCTCTCTAAACTTCCCTGTTTGTTGCTCCTGTTCACTAGCTCCTCTGGTCCTGTACGAGCTGGCTTATTAGTGTCCCCCCCACCCCCATTCTTCCTGAGTAGCCCTGCCCCTTGTTAGGGGATCCTAAAGGGATTAAGGATCAAAGGATGTCAGGCTAAAGCAGGGGTCGGTAACCTTTCAGAAGTGGTGTGCCGAGTCTTCATTTATTCACTCTGATTTAAGGTTTTGCGTGCCTGTAATACATTTAAACGTTTTCAGAAGGTCTCTTTCTATAAGTCTATAATATATAACTAAACTATTGTTGTATGTAAAGTAAATAAGGTTTTTAAAATGTTTAAGAAGCTTCATTTAAAATTAAATTAAAATGCAGAGCCCCCCAGACTGGTGGCCAGGACCCGGGCAGTGTGAGTGCCACTGAAAATCAGCTTGCGTGCCGCCTTCGGCACGCGTGCCATAGGTTGCCTACTCCTTGGCTAAAGTATGGTTACAAAGCTTTGCCTAGCCGGTTGCTATGCTGAACTTACAAAGCCCCCTAAACAGTCCATGGTATAAATTTTAATGAAGCAGGCACATGGCAACCAGCAGGCATGCAACAGCCTAACCGACAACAAACTCACGCCCAAGGTCACATAGTCCTCCTCCTCCACCTGGAGAACTCCCTCGCAACACTCCCCTGTTTCCTACTCAAAGTTCCTAAGTCGCTTAGAAGCATAAGTGTCATTGAAAGTGGGGCTTGTGTGTGTAAATTGCTTAGGCTTAGTCTAGAAAAGGTTTGGTGATATGGATGTATAAGTATAACTATACTGGCAAAACTTCCTAGTATAGTGCTTTTTCTAGTTTTGGTTATGCCAGTTCCCTGAGCGAAATAAGTTATTTATACTCCTGAGGGAATTATGGGCCAAAAAGTTCTGTGCAAAAAAATTTAAAAATTTATGCACACTTTTTAAAATTCTGCAAATTTTATTTGTCAGTAAATAAATATGGCTCCAGCATGGTAGTGGGGCACACAGGCCACTGGCTGCATTGAGGTGGGAGATCACCCTGAAACCCCCACCTCTCCCCGTACAGGGACTCGGCAGTGAGGCCACACCCGACCCTGACACAGTGGCAACCAGAAACACCTCGACGCTCAGCTCCTCTGTGCCAGGCACACCTGGTGTGGCTCCTGCTGGGTGAACCTGGCCAGCCAAGTGTGGAAGGGCTTAGTGTGGGGGGATCCAGGTGTGGGCTGAAAGGTTTCTGAGTGGGGTAGTCTGGGTGCGGGTGGGAGATCTGGATGCACAGGGGCTCATTGTGCGGTTCTGGGTGCAGGGGCAATGGGACTCTGCAGGGGATCCAGGTAATGTTGTTTGGGCTCAGTGGGGGAGCAGGGGGGTCTGGGTGTGGGGGCTTGGTGTGGGGCTCCGGGTGCTGGGGGGAGTGGGGCTTGATGGGTGGAGGTCCAGATGCAGCGGGTTGGGGCTCAGTGGGGTGGGGGTCTGGGTGTGGGGGGCTTGTCGGAGGGGTCCAGGTGTAAGAGGGTAGGGCTTGTCACAGTGAGTGTTCGATGGGCTTGCTTAAAGGGAGAGCCCCAGCTACTGCTGAGGAGATGGTGCATGCTGGACTCCCACTTTCCCCCGCGATTCCCCTATCTCCTTTTCTTCTCTATTCCCCTCCGCTCACTCCCACATTCCTCTCTCTCTGCCCTATTCCTCCCCCCTTCCTTCCCTCCCTCCCACCTTTAGCCAGCCCCACTGTGGGCACTCAGTGTTTCACAGAAAATAGGAAGGCTCCCAGCACACAGAAGGGGAGCACAACTGTCACTAGGACTGAAGAGACTGTGTTCAGCTGCAGAGTCAGTGGAGCCTGAGACACAGACTCCTTCAGCTGAGCAGTTCTGCATTTGTAGAAATGAGGGGTGAGGGCAGTGGCACATAACCCTGTGTGCCCTCCATCCCTCGCTTCTGTTTGGGGGGCAGTCCCCCACAAAAACTGCACACATGGTCGCCCCTCCCCCCTGCGCGGCTTCCCTTTGCTTCCCTGCCGTTTTCTGCAGGGAAACGCAGAAGTAGTGTGTGTGTGTGTGTGGGAGGGGGGGATATTTTCTGCAGGTGTGCAGTCCCAAGGATCCCTCCAGGAGTATATATAGCAAAAGCACTCCTATGCCAGTATAACTGCAGCTACACTAGGGCTTTTACTGACATTGAAATGTCAAAAAAAAAAAAAATTGCATCCCTGTAGACCTGCCCTTAGGCACTCTTGCAAATCCCACCTTAGTTATAACTAGTGTAACTAATACTTGAACTGGGACACGTACGGCAATTTTCTGCAATATCCTTGAAAAACCTTACTGAATTAGTATCTGGAGTCCATTTTATAAAATACAAAAGTAATGATTCCTGGGAGGTATTGTGAACTTCAAAGGACTGTCTGAACAATGCGCCAGACAAGAATGGATGTGTGGACAAACAATGTTAAATGGTTTGTCTAGGGAATCTCTATGGGAAGGTGAGAGCAAATTCCCAACTCTGGTTATTTTATTTATTTTATTTTTTTTTTTATTTATTCTAGGACTGGAAGGGACCTCGAGAGGTCATCGAGTCCAGTCCCCTGCCCGCATGGCAGGACCAAATACTGTCTAGACCATCCCTGATATGCAAAGGCCTTTCTTTTTGTAGCTACACCCCAAGGAGGGAACTATTTTCTACTGATAATCTGTTCGTGGATGTGACGGGTTGGATCACATAAACCCCCCTGAGAGCTGCCAACTGATGTGCCAAGGTTACCTCTGCTCCTGTTTTCCCTGCCAGCTCAGGACTCCAGCACCCTGTCTTGCTGAGCCAGACACTCCCGTCTGCTCCAACAAAGACCCAGGGTCTGAATTACTTGCCCCAAAGCTGCAGGTTTCCTGAAAACAGTTCACGGAAGTGTGCTTGTCTTTAGCACTCAGATGCCCAACTCCCAATGGGGTCTAAACCCAAATAAATCTGTTTTACCCTGTATAAAGCTTATACAGGGTAAACTCATAAATTGTTCGCCCTCTATAACACTGATAGAGAGAGATGCACAGTTGTTTGCTCCCCCAGGTATTAATACATACTGAGTTAATTAATAAGTAAAAAGTGATTTTATTAAATACAGAAAGTAGGATTTAAGTGGTTCCAAGTAGTAACAGACAGAACAAAGTAAGACACCAAGCAAAATAAAACAAAATGCGCAAATCTATGTCTAATCAAACACTGAGTACAGATAAGATCCTCACCAGTTCCAGAATGCTCCCTTTTACAGACTAATCTCCTTTTAGCCTGGGTCCAGGCTCCACTCACTCACACCCCTTTGTTCCAGTTTCTTCCAAGTATCCTGGGGGTTGGGGAGGCTCTCTCTTTAGCCAGCTGAAAACAAAATGGAGGGGTCTCCCATGGGTTTAAATAGACTTTCCCTTGTGGGTGGAGACCCCCCTCCTCACTCCTATGCAAAGTCCAGCTCCAAGATGGAGTTCTGGAGTCACCTGGGCAAGTCACATGTCCATGCATGACTCTCAGTCTTTACAGGCAGAAGCCATTGTCCACATGGTATCTTGTATGTCTCCAGGAAGACTTCTTATGTGGATTGGAGCATTCCAAGATGCATTGTTCCCCAAGTGCTTCCTGATCGGGTACTTAACCTTGCAAATTCCTTCCTAAAGAAACTGACCAAATGCCTCACAAAGCTTACTTAGAAACCAAGCAAGTATACAACCCATATTCTTAACCTCAAGTAGAAAATGATATATGTGTACAAATAGGATGAATAGATATAGTAGACCATAACTTTTACAGAGATATGTTACATGGCACAGGCAGCACAAAACATTCCAGTTATGTCATATTCCCATAAAGCATTATGGGGTACAGCGTCACAGTGGAATCTCAAGATCGAAGGCCCAGGCTGTAAAAGGAAACATTAACCTGTGCATGGTTGTGTTTATTCTGAGCTAAGGCTGTTTATGAACTTGTAACCACACAAAGACCCATTGCTACCAGAGCCCTTGCTGAAGTTTGGAGGTGATCTCTAATTCGCTTATTAGCATGTGTTTAGATTCTTTTACTGTCTTTAAAATATTTTCACTATAATGCTTTCACCATAAGAATAAATGTGCTTGCTTATGCTATTTGGTAACTCATAACTGCTGGCAATTACATTATTCCTAACCTTCGAAGAGAAAGCAAAGTGCAGTTGTTGGCAGTCGGGTTGCTGGGAATATCAGTGTAGGCAGGGAACTGTACATCCTGGAAAAAACCCAATTAGAAGGGAGAGGGATGCAGGCCTCTACTGAAGATAGGTGACAGCTGAGGAGCCTGGTGTGTGTGCCCTTAAGGGACCACAGAGGGGGTATACAGGTGCAGTTGTCCTGGATTGTGAGGTGAACATTTTTAGAATTCATTCTTTTTCTGTGAAAAGAATCACAAAACATAACTTTGTAATATTCAATGCTGTTGGAAAAAACAATTTCTTTTTTTGCAGAAAAGCCTGCCATTGCTCCACCCGTCTTTGTGTTTCAGAAGGATAAAGCACAGAAGGTAAGGAGCTATCATTGTGTATGTACTCATTTTATGGCATACTGTCATCCTGACTAATATTTCAGTGACAGCAGTAATTTGTATATGGTGTTACTCTTCTGAAGTTTAGAAGAGATAGTAGATTGTTGTCATTAGGGTTTGAAATTCAAGGAAAAAATTTGGGAAGACACAGGTTATAGGTTAGTGGGAGGAAAACAGGAGAGACAGAAGGTGTGGGAAATCTAGAGCAATTTCAAAGGAGTATCCTAAACAAAGACAGATGGGGGAAAAAGGCGCAGGCAGATCTTATTACTACGTAGAAATAGAAATGAAAGCAAGAAAAGAGAATAACAAAATAAAAAGAAAAGGAAAAAAACATGGTTCAAGTTAGTGCTAAAATTTTACATATTACATACAACTACTGATTGATTTCTTGGTTAATTGCTCATTATTAAATTTAAGTTTGGGGAAATTGAAAAATGTTGCTGTCGGCTGTGTAACTCAGTGACCTCAGAGCATTTTGCATTTTAAATGCAGTTTACATTCCTTTAACTTGGAAAGCGAGACTGACCCGGTTTTTCAAATGAATTCCATGATGCATTAAGCTGGGTTCAAACAGAAAACCTTCCAGTGTTTTAGTTAATTGCTACTAAAATATTTTGTCAAGATGTGAAGCCTACCATCAGATGTCTGTTTTGAATCCAGTGCAGGTCAATAGCAGGGTTACCATATTTGGAGTGTCCAAAAAGAGGACACTCCACGGGGCCCCGGCCCCGCCCCTAGCCCCGCCCATGCCCCCCGCCCCAACTCCGCCCCTCCCCCAAAGTCTCCGCCCCAACTCCGCCCCCTCCCCTGCTTCCCGCGAATATTTGATTCGCGGGAAGCCTGAAGCAGGAAGCAGGCAGCAGGTAAGCGGTGGGGGGAGGCGGAGGGAGGAGGCGCGGCCCAGTCTGGCCCCCTCCGGCGGCCGGCCCCAGCCTGGCTCGGCTCGGGCCCTGGGGTGCCGGCCCCGGGCCAGCCCCCGGCCGAGCACCCCCGT